TGCAGACTGCAACTATACTGAACAGACCTTAGTTATAGTTTCAAGGAGATAGCCCATTATCTGGTGTGATCAACAGTTTGAACATTACCAGTAAACTCAAACCCACAATGACTTGGGACTTTGTGTTAGCACACTCACAGACAGCTTCCAAACAGTTATATCTATCTAATTTCATTCATAAGGCTTGGGTCAACCTGTGATATGGTTACCAAGCACTTTCCAATGGTGATACCCACTGTGATTGCCTCTTTAGGCTGATAACATCAAGAAGCCTTCCTGCCAAATCAGTTATGGGGAAATTCAAACCCAGGTCTCATGGTCAAAAAGCAAATATTCTAAACATTCAGCCATGTGTGTGTTGAAAATTATTTCTTAAAGGTCAAGATATTCAACTGAATGTCATTACAATTGGGAGACCCATTTCATTACAAAATTTTAATGAATGGAGGAGAAATAAATATAAAACAATAACCACAGTTGTATTTTAGAGCCAACTGTATTTATACACAATATAAAGGGAATATTTAACAAACCATATAATAATTATCAATGTGTATTTATCTATATATTTCCTGTCCCATCTGTAATGGGAAGAGATATAAATGAACTTAAATTAGTAAATTATGAGTGATTATGTCCCTTAGTTGTTTTAATAATCTATACAAATAAAACATTTATTTACCTGTAAATAAATTTATTTCCCAAGCAATATGAACTTTTTTTATTAAATAGTTCCTTTACTCCTACATTTCTTAAATTACAGTATTACTTATTCAACCTTTCATGTGAGGCACTCAGATCCATTAAGTGATTGTCTTGATTCAACTTGGTTTTGAAATAGACTTTGTTGTTGTTATTCTGTTGCTAACCTTTATCTTCCGAGAGATATTTTCATTTCACTGTTATATTAAAGATATAGAATTGTTATCATAAAAAGATATTGAGCAAAATGCAATTTATATAATACCACAAGCAATAAAGGAATCATAGATACCATTGAATGTTGAAGAAATATAAAGGGAAGAGATTAATAAAACAGTTCATTGGCCTCCATTTTTGTTGTGAATTCTTTATCTCCACTTTATTGAATCTCAATACATTGTTTCAAGACTTTTGTTTCATTGCATCACAATATTAAAACTTTCTAATAATTGCTATCATTTTTGATGGCATGGGCACACTAGTATACTTAGAAAGAGACAATTGAAATTTCTTGGAGACATAATGAGGAAAGAAGGTTTGGAAAATGTGTCACTCACATGACATATTGAAGGCAAGAGGGACAGAGGAAAACAACAAGTAACCTACCAAACAGTTTTGTACAAATGGATGGCATATCAGGGAATGAGAAAGATAGTAAAAAGGCAAATATTGCTAAAAGCTACAAAGGGTAGGAAGTCGTGGAGAGCCATGATCAACCTACCTAACAAGCTTGTGTAAATGGATGGCCTATAGGGAAACGGGAAGGATAGTAAAAAGGCAAATATTGCAAAGAGCTACAAAGGATAGGAAGATGTGGAGAGCCATGATCAACCTATCTAACAAGCTTGTGTAAATGGATGGCATATCAGGGAAAGGGAAAAATAGTAAAAAGGCAAATATTACTAAGAGCTACAAAGGGTAGGAAGTTGTGGAGAACCATGATTAACCTACCAAACAGATTTATGTAAATGGATGGCATATTAAGGAATGGTTAGAATAGTAAAAGGGCAAATATTGCAAAGGGATACAGAGGGTAGGAAGTTGTGGAGACCCATGATCAACCTACCTAACAAGCTTGTTTAAATGGATGCCATAACAGGAATGGGAATGATAATAAAAAGGCAAATATGGCTAAAAGCTACAAAGGATGGGACATTGTAGAGAGCCATGATCAACCTGTCTAACAAACTTGTGTAAATGGATGGCATAACAGGGAATGAAAAGGTTAGTAAAAGGGAAATGTTGGTAAGTGTTACAAAGAATGGGTAGTTGTGGAGAGCCATGATCACCCACCTTCTGAAGGACACAGCATATAGAAGAAAATATGTAGGCAACATTTTAGCTTTTATCACTACCCACTGACTTTAATTCTACTCAAAACCCTCACCTGATTATTTTTAGTCATTTTGTGAACTAATAATTTCAGAAAAGTTTGTTGATCAAGCAGTAAATTTTACAATTATTTTTCACCAAAAAGTTTGAGTAAATTTCAGCTTTCCATTTGCATACTGTGAACTGAAAATCAAGTAAAATCGGATTGTCCAAGGTCAGGAATTAAAGCAAATATTACTGAGAAATTGGTTATCTATCTATCTATATATCTATCTATTTGTTGTAATGTGGAATCTGGCAAGACACAACACTTAACTTGAGTCAGTCGTGGTAGTAGAATTCAATACTCGACTGGACAATATTTCTGAGATGAGGTATTATGTACATTATTTACATTATTCAGACTATTGTTCTCATCTTTGTCGCCATATTTATTACATTTCGGCCATTGTACTCTCCAGCCTTCTTCAGGTGATTGGAATGTCGAACTGAACCCTTTATTTTGTTCACTGGGGTAGACTGTTCTAGTTCCATGTGCCATGGAGGGGAAATTAACAGGAGATAACTGACAACTGACATCCATTAAAACATGGCACGTGGAACTAGAACAGTCTACCCCAGTGAGCAAAATAAAGGGTTCAGTTCAACATTCCAACCATCTGAAGCAGGCTGGAGCGTACAACAGCCGAAACGTTGTAATAAATATGGCGACAAAGATGAGGACAATAGTCCGAATAATGTAAATAGTTGACTGGACAAGTCACTGTAATCTTCTGTATTCACCTGAGACATCTCCACAAGGCAGGATGTGGCACAAGGCAGGATGTGGTACAAGGCTATTTTTTAATGTGGGGCTTTCCAAGCATGTAAACATGGGCAAAAATTCCCCATAGACCCCACATACACAGGGTTGAGTGGCTGTTTACTGCTCCAGACGAGACTCTGCCTGTAGGCGTAGCCTTGTCTGAGTTCCTCTCTGCCCAAAGACAGAGAGTTGACAAGCAGAAAAATGATTAATTGTTAACTACTCTCGCAATAGAATTATCTTCTACTCCTAGACAATTACCCATGACTACTTATTATGAATGGATCAGTCCATTCATGATAGTAAGGAGGATAAATGGCTCTGACATTATTTCAATCTGTTCTTTATCTAACTATCCTGCTGTACATTTTGAGATTCTTGACAAAATCCAAAGAAGGTTGTCTAATGTAATCGATCTGACTTGGTATCTTGACTTCAGTCACTTTCTCACCAATGTAGTGTAGCTTCCCGCTGTCTTTTCTAGAAATATTTTCATGGTAACTGCTCAGATGAGATTTTTTTCCATGGTGGCCTGACTACATTAATTTAAGTGTGCTACTAGATTGGCTGTGAGGAGGCACGGTGGAGTAATAGATAACGGTTCGGATTGAGGAATCGGAGAGACAAGTTCGAATTCCAGTCTGATCCATTACATTTGCTTATGTGCTAATACCCTTGGAAAAGGTATGAATCCTCTTCTTCTCCCAGCTATGGGTAAGTAGCAGGACAGACTGGGTTCTATAGCCCTGAATAGCAACTGGTCTACTGCAGAAAGAAATGGCAACCTACTGTGGAAAAAAATCTGCCTTGTCAGTCATGTATCGAAAAATACATGATCACCTAAGCATGTATAACGCATGGCACATAACTGACTGATTAGATTGGCAACTCAGTACCGCCATTTTACTATTGAAATAGCTAAATGCAACCACCCTTTCTACTCCAACAGTTTCTTTTGTTGCACTTCCCACCTGTGGAACTCCCTTCCATTTCCTTGCTTCCCTGATAACTACTATCTTCAAAAATTTAAATGCAACATCAAACGTCATCTTCTATCTTCTTGAATCCTGTCAATTCTTTGTATTTCCCTCAATCCTCTCCCTTTTCAGTCTTCTCATTTTCTTTCACTTTACTCCCTGTAGTACCCGTCTCTGCCATTCATTCTAGTGAGATTACCATCTTGCTTGGGTGAAATGATAAGGAAAAAAATCTATCTATCTATACAAGATAGAGCAGTAAGTGTGAAGAAAATGTAAGTTCCTTATATATATATATGAAGGGGTGCCGAAAAGTTATTAAGGTGGGTGACAACCCATTTCCCAAAATCATTATCAGATGTTTGCATTTGTTACATCAAAATAGGGCAAGTGAGTCAGGTTGATAAATTTTCAAAATTTCAGTTCAATATGTGTGTGTTTGTGTGTGTTATATATACCTATGCCCATCTGGGTACAGGAAAGAAGAGGTGCAAATAAATATATCAATAAAAAGATATTAAGTGAGATAAACTGATAGGTAGGTAAATAGGTAGATAAGAAGGTAGGTAAGTAATTAAAAAAAGTAGTTAATGAGTAGGTGGGCACCCAAACAGACAGCAACTAAAAAGGAAATAAATTGTTTTTTGCCTTTGACATATATGGCAGATGTCTTTTGATAGATAGAGAGAGAGAGAGAGAGAGAGAGATAGAGAGATAATCTATAAGTTTGTGCATTTGTATTTTTAAATTTTTTAGATGTAATTAAATGATTAATAAAGACTTAATACATATTTTGTAGTCTCACAAGTCATTATGCATTAGTGTTGCTTCACTAAAATAAAAAAAAAATGATCATTATAAAACATTCAACTAATTTACCATATTTTCAGCTTCGTTCAAAAATTGTTCAGGATTCCTTTTGAATCAATTTTTAAAAATAAACTATTTTTTTTATTTCCTACCTAAATCGAAACAAGCTTAAATTTAGAAATCATATTTCTTTGAAATCCTAGTGAAGAGTAAAAAATTAAGCAGTTGACGGCAGTAGGATTGCAGTAGTATAGCAGCAGCAGCAGCAGCAGCGTGCTTGGGATAGCAGTCTAATTTTTCAGCAGTTTGTTGCTCATTCTTGTTCATAAAACTAGACTTCGTCTCAGGGAGAGAAAAAGAAGTAAAAAGAGACTTTGCTTGTTTTATCTAAACTTGTAAGTAAAACTTGGTCTTTATTTGTCGTCTATGTGCACTTTTGATCCAACTTTAGATGCTACACGTGTGTGTAACCCTGTTGCTAGGCGGACATGATATGTGGTTGTAAAATGGGGGATCATTTTGTTATTGTAACAATGGTTAATATTGATCCTCCAGTTTGTGATCACTTTCTGTTGTGTCTTTAAATATGTATAAATACAGTGATGCTATTATCTGAATGGATCACTTTCAATTTGTATGTTGGTATTGATTGTTTATTTCATTTTGTTTTGAAAAAGGATTTCGAATTAATCTTTGCATGGTGAGAATTTTTTGATTGAATGTGTACAAATAAACAACCTTCATTTTTTAAAAATTATTTTTCCTGTCTCGACTTGTTTTTGGATGGATTTATTCTTTAGCTAGTATATATATATATTTCATACTAAAAATTAAAAAAGTATCATCAGGATTTATTTAAACAGTTCACTTCAGTGTTATATAGTCTCAATTATTTAAAATAAACACGTGATCTTCGTATAATTAAATTAATAAGTCGATAATTTAACCTTCTGGTTTTTATAAGGCTTCTTCTTCCAGTCGTTATTTATTATTATTAACAAATTTATTTTTATTGGTAACATTTACAACAATGATTACATTAACTTTTTTAAATAATATTCAGTAATTCGTATATAAATCATAACAGGAGTTGTATATAGAATTTAAATGAATTGTAGATAAATATTAAAAAAAAACGTTGCGTTTGGCCGGACACCTCTTATAGATATTATTATTAAAAATGCATTTTTAAATTTTAATGCAAAAACAACAAAAAATGAGCTAAAAAATATCTTCTGCTTTGTATATTTACCTGTGGGGTCTGATATATGAAATGAGAAATAATTGTTGAATTGAAATAGCATTTTCTTACGGTAATGAGTCACTCCGATAAAAATATGATGAACTTATGCACCCTTTACAAGACTGATCTTGTCAAAAATGAAACGCATATCTACAACAAAGGTTATTAAAATCCGTACCCAATATATAAGATATCTGGCAGATGAAGGACATTACCGATACATTTTATTTTGTACGGCAGAAAATAAAATTAAAATAAAAATATTTTACTACAAGTGACCGACAAGTGGTTTGTGTTTGATAACTAGCGATATTTTACCCACATAATGTTTTTTTTACCAGTTTTGAAAATTAAATTTCAAATATTTTTAAGTTAAAACTAAAAAAAAATTAAAGCCGTGTAAAACTAAATATAATTTTTATTTTTTAATATAGTTAAATGAAAATATTTCCCATTGCATCATAATTTTGGAAGCCAAACTAAAACAAAAAAAAAAGCATGAATTGTCTTTTATTTTATTTTTATTTTTTTTTTAGCTATGATGAAATTTCTGGTATCTGTACATTAACATCAAAAATTCTTGAATTAAGGTCCACATAGTCTGCTAACATGAGAAAAAAAAACAATATGTATTCTAATTCAGCTAATTACACTGTTGTAAAAATGAAATGTTTAAAAAAATTAAATTTAAAATTTTTGCCCAATAGGGAAAAAAAAAATTTTTACATAGAGAATTTGGCCAAACATGTTGATGGTGACTTATTTTCTACAAGTTTTCATTTTTTTTTCTAATCATATATTTTTTAAAATATTCTTTAATGTTTGGCCACTTTTAAAGCTTACAAATGTTAATAAAAAAATATAATTTACATTGATTTTCATTTTGTCATACTTTACAAAAAGATTTCATAAAACCATAATAGTGCAAGCTGAGAAAAAATATTTTAACCTCTTAACTGCAGTAGAAATTTCTGCCATTTATAGGTAAGCCATAGAACTTTTTTTTTTTTTTAATTCTAATATTCACTCAATATAAAGTTCAAAAGACACTCTAGTTAGAAGGTTACTGAATCAGGTTGTTTTATGATTGTAAGAGGAAGAGTTGGTAAGAGGCGCAGTTTATGTAGGAGAGATAACTGTTTTTAACCCTAGACTTGAAGAGGTTAAAATTGTATTGATTGAGAAAATATCTTCTTGAGAGTCTTTTCCACAAAATAATAATTCTTAGAAAGAAGCCACCTAAGTGGAACTTTCTTCTTACTAATAATGGAATATTAATGGAACGAGGATAATTCATCCCAGTAACTGGTGGAAATAAGGAATGTAGCTTGTCAGAACATTTGCTATGGAAATAGCGATAGAATAGCAAAAAAAAGTGTGTGTGTTTATATCCTTCAACCAGGAAGGTAAAGCCTCTCTTCTCGATCTGTGTTTTACCTCCATCCCTGAGTCTTGTAGCGCCACGCAACTCTGCTCTCTTGATAACTCTGATCATGTGGTAGTATCTGTTAACATCTCCTTCAACTCCACCCCCTACAAAGAACCTCCTACCACTAGAACTTCGTTCTACTATCAACAAGCTGACTGGGACTCGTTCCGTGATTTCCTCCGTGATGTTGTCTTTATGCTCCCCGTCCAAGAACGTGCTTCTGAGGTTTCATCCTGGGTTAAAGCTGGAATCGACGCTTTCATCCCCTCAAGGAAATATAGGGTCAAGTCGCGCTCCTCCCCCTGGTTCTCCGCTGCTTGCTCAGCCGCCATTTCCCATAGGAACCACTTCTTTCACCTATTCTGTAGCGACATGTCTGACAGCAATAGACGTCTCTTTGCCTCCGCCCGTAACGAGTGTAAGCATGTCCTCAACGATGCTAAATCACTATTTGCTGCTCGGATGAAGGAGCGTATTGCATCTCGCAAATTTGGCTCCAAAGATTATTGGCGTCTCTACAAGAGCGTATTGAACAGCTGCAAACCCTCTATACCTCCTTTGTTCAACCAGTTCGAAGTCTTGACCTCCTCTGCTGACAAGGCTGAATGCTTTTCTCAGAAATTTTCATTCAACTCAACACTCGACTCTTCTGGTGTACCCATACCCAACTTCCCTCTTAGAACTGAGGCCCTATTGAGTGGGTTACACATAACCCTGTCTTTGGTATTGGGCATTATCTTGAATTTAGACCCCAACAAGGCTAGTGGTGGAGATGGGATACCAGCCATTGTCTTGATAAAATGTGTGCATGAACTGGTGCCCGCCCTCTCTAAACTATATAACTACTGCCTCAAGGAATCTTGTTTTCCTGGCTGCTGGAAGTCCTCTTCGATTATTCCTGTCTTCAAGAACTCTGGCGACCCCACTGACCCTTCTAACTACTGTCCTATCAGTCTCCTACCCCACTTTGGCAAAGTCTTCGAAGCCCTAATCTGCTCTCAGACAAGCAATATGGCTTCTGCTTTGCCCAATCTACAGCTGATGTGCTTACAGCCATCACTGAAACTGTCTACCAAGCTCTTCAAAATAACGGGGAAGCTCGTGCCGTGGCCCTAGACATCTCCAAAGCGTTTGATAGGGTTTGGCATGCCGGCCTTCTTCGCAAGCTCCAGGGTTATGGCATTACGGGTCGATTGTTTCACCTAATACAATCATTCCTGTCAAACCGTGAATTGAAGGTCGTTCTCAACAGATTCTCCTCCAGTTCCTATCCCATGAACACAGGTGTTTCTCAAGGCTCCATCCTAGGCCCCACTCTATTCCTTATCTACATAAATGACCTTCCTGATGCCATAAATTCCCAAGTTGGCATCTATGCGGAAGCCACCACAATTTACTCCTACCTCAAAAACAAATCTAGTGTCACTGACAAAACTAACCTGGTCCTGTGTCTCGAAAAGGACCTCCAATCGGTTGTGAACTGGGGCATGAATTGGCTGGTCAACTTTAATGCCTCAAAAACAAAACTGCACTCTATTAATCACCACAGAGATCCTTTCCTGCCCTCCTGCTCGGTCTCACGTTGACTGCTGACCCGAGATGGAACAAATACATTGAGTCAATTGCTTTGTCCATCGCAAGGAAAGTTGGCTCCCTGTGCCGTGCCGGGAAATTTTTCTCCCCGGAATCAATCCTCCAGATCTACAAATCAACAATTTGCCCTTGCATGGAGTATTGCTGCCATGTATGGTCTGGAGCGCCTTCTCTTTGCCTCGGGTTCTTGATAGGCTCCAGAGGCAGATATGCAATATAATTGGCCCTGTTCTGGCATCTCGTCTACAGTCACTCTCTCACAGATGCGCTGTCGCCTCTCTCTGTCTTTTTTACAAATACTTTCATGGCAATTGCTCTGAGGAGCTGCATTCGCTGGTTCCCAGACTTCATGAGTTCAAGCGCCCTATGAGGCTGGCATCCCGCTCTCACCCTTTCACTGTCAAAACTCCTAAATGTAGTTGTCTCTTCTACTCCAATAGCTTCATATCTCACACCTCTCGCCTGTGGAACTCCCTTTCCTATTCCAGTTTCCCTGAGAGCTATAATCTCCAGCTATTCAAATGTAATGTCAATTGACATCTCCAGTTACCTTGATCTATCCACTATCCTTCACTAGGACGCAAGGGGTTACAGAAAACATTATTTTTTGGTATTTTGTCATTCCACTATATTTCATACAATTATTTGATATATTTTTTTTTTTTTTTTAAGCGTTTCACCCCAAGCAAGGTGAGAAGCCACTAGGACGCAAGGGGTTACAGAAAATTTGAAGCAAGATCAGAATTTGGAGCAAGATCAGATAGGAATCTGATCTTGCTCCAAATTTTCTGTAACCCCTTGCGTCCTAGTGGCTTCTCACCTTGCTTGGGGTGAAACGCTTAAAAAAAAAAAAATATCAAATAATTGTATGAAATATAGTGGAATGACAAAATACCAAAAAATAATGTTTTATTCTTCAATAGGACTTCTTCAAACTTCTTTATGTGCTGTGTCCCTTCAGGATATAGGCGTTCATGGCTCTCCACAATTTCCTGTCTTTTGTAACTCTTAATAAATTTTCTCTTTTTGCTATTTCTCCTAAACCAGTGGTTCTCAACTGGGTTCCATATGGACCATTACTGGGATCTACACAAAAAGTAGCAAATTAGGGGTCATCAGTAATATTTTAG